GACCCACACACAAAAGTGCATTTTAATTAGGATAATCTCAATGTAGCATTTGCTTAATGAAAAGAATTTCCACTACTCTTCCATATGACTAGATATATACCTTGCAATCTTAAACTCTTTTTTAGATGCTTGGAAAAGATACGTTGCACAATCATATTATGCGATTACTATGAGAGAGTCAAACACTTAATATAGAATTCAATAACGGCATGTGTACAAAGACTTGAGATAGAATTCAATAACGGCATGTGTACAAAGACTTGAGATTCCTTCGCTATTTGATGTGAAATTTTCTCATAATGTATCCTTACAAAATAGTGGATCGTATGCGCAAATCAATCTTCGAATCAAACGGCACATTTGAGCTTCTAGACAGATCTAATGACTCGTTATAACATTATGGGATTTGATACCATATTAAAATTTGTCGTTCCATCTTAAAAAAACAATTCTATTATTGAGTAGTCAAAATTCTTATTTGTTGTATATACATTTCGTCGTAATTCGACATGGGTTGTGAAATTTACCTTTGACAAAACATACGTACGAGATTTTAACATTTTTTTCTTTCTCAATCATATCAGATATTGTCAAATCAGTACACGAGGCGGCTCTTAAAGGCACAATCACAATTCATGCTTAGTACATTTTTGACTTTGGGTAAATCATAACAACCATCTTTGTTGCAAAGGGAGGAAGAGGCATCATGCTTGCCTACCCAGGATGTCATTAGATCCTTCTCTTCCTCCTAAGAGCCCCAATATTTGTACAATAAAGCATGAGACAACTTTTTCTTTCTTCTTTTTCGCTTTAGCGTGAAAAGGGGAAGAGCATTAACACAGAAAAAAATCTTCATATAATAGAATTGCAAAGCATTTTGGATTTGGGACCAACATAAGAATGGAATCTTGGGTGCAATTCAGCGAATTATTTCTTGGGTGCAATCCAGAGAATTATTTCAATTTCTAGCGTGCGAGTGGCAAAGAAATTAATTGGGATTGGTGGGTGGCGTGGGGTTCGGCTTAATATATTTTCTTTTAAGCTTTTTGTGCAAGTTTTGCCCTACTCAAATGATTGGTCAACAAGTCAACAACCAAGGCTCTAAGAGCATCTCGTGCAATCTCGTGTCGATTGGTTGAGGGGGCTAGTCTTGTTGTGGGTCCATAAAATAACTAGTCGTGGGGTGACATTGCGATGATGGTGGGCAAATTGAAAGAAACTAAGAGAACAAAAAATGTATTGAATCTTAAAATTATTTGATCAACTGATTAGCACAACACAACATGATTCGAGCTATTACGGTCTAAGGATCTTCTCTTTTTTGCTTAAAGTTTCATTTTCTAGATGCTGGCTCTGATGAGTCATAGACTTAACATCACCCGATTCTATGAACAAATCAACTTACTACACTGTATGTGTCGAGCTGATTAAGCTTGGAACATTCGGCACATAGTTAATGTTTGCTTGATTAAATTTACAAGTCTTTGTAAGCAATGGATCTTAAAGAATGTGAAGTTAAAATGTGGATAAAAGTTGTGGAGCCAAATGAATGTATGATTAAAAAAAGTTCGACGAGCTTGTAAACACTTGAAAGTTTTGTCAAACAAGCACTTTTATACAAATTGTTATTGAATGTGTCGGTGCAATGATAAAGATGTGTTTATGTTGACAAAAGTCTCCCCAAATGTGTCAAAAGCCAATAGAGTAATAAATACATTATGGAAGCATGGCCCATTGGAAAAGAATGGGTCTAGTTTATGTGACTAGGAAGAGTGCCAAAAAAGCATATGTGATTTGGTTAATAAATAAGCCAACAAAGAATATTATTCACTTTTTATTTAATTTTTTTTTCAAAGGAACGAGTCGATCCTAAATTTCGATAAACGATGAGAGTAGTAGTAAGTTGATAGTCAATGCAAAGCACGATTAAGATGAAAAAATATTCATAGAAATATTAATATATGTTCACAGCAGAGTCGATTATATTATCTGTTTTATTCATTAAAAACCCATAATTTTGGACGAAATTTTGAAAATTGATTTAGGTACCCCGATCAGTCTAACATGGTGGCAGATTATTTCAATAAAAAAGGACAGTTGCCATCAATATATTTTTGGTCCAGTCTAACATGGAGGCATATTATTTTAGTTGACGAGAACTACATTAAATAGGCATATCTCCATTTGATACTCGAAGTAACTCATAACTAACTGCAATCATGGCAAATTTTCTTGACCAAGAACTTCACCAATGATTGCAATTTGCAAGGCACAAAATTCTCCTTATTGATGCAAAAATATAGATATCAATAAAGATTGTTGTTGAAGATATAAATATAAATAATTTTTTTTAATTATGAGACGTTATATTCAGAGTGTATTATTTATTAATCGAGAGTGTATTCGAGAAGAGTGGATATAAACTTGCGTATGAAGACGATTTGATGAGATCGAAACGTCGCTTTAAGTTGGTTTCCAAAACTATGTGGTGTCGTTTAGATTTTCAAAATATAATTTCCAATGTCATTCCTTGTATGGTTGATGGTTGGAATGTACATTCTAAATTATAAGAGAAGGCGTTACTCCCTATCATTGAATGGGTGTGATCAACTGTGTAATCGAGGAAGCCATTATTGATTGACTTCCTATTAATCATGGTAACGGATTGACTCTCTCTCAAAAGGTATCTGATTTGACTTTTTTACGATCGTTCAAAATAATATATATTAGTAAAGTAGAGCTAGATTACACGATTGGCTTGTAAGAGAAATAGAAGGAGGAGCGTAACGTCAAGACGGAGATGCTTAAATTTTGACATTTAGAAGGACTTTCCAAGTGATCAAGCACAAGGATGAAAGTAAACACTCTAATAAGCAAATTCGTCAAATTCAGTATACCAAACATACTACATTTATTTGTGTTTCATAGAATTCATCAAGAACTTCAACTGAATTAGCGACGTAAACAAAATTTTGGCATTTAAAGAGGCTTTCCAAGTGATAAAGCACAAGGACGAAAATAAACACTCTAATAAGCAAATTTGTCAAATTCAATGTACCAAAGTAAACATTTATTTTTATTCCATAGAATTCATCAAGAACTTCAATGGAATTAGCGATCAAAACAAAATTTTGGCATTTAGAGGGGCTTTTCATGTGATAAAGCACAAGGTTGAAAGTAAACACTCTAATATGCAAATTCATCAAATTCAGCACACCAAATATACTGCATTTATATGTATTTCATAGAATTCATCAAGAACTTCAATCGAATTAGCGACAAACAAAATTTTGGCATTTAGAGAGGTTTTCCAAGTAATAAAGCACAAGGATGAAAATAAACACTCCAACGCACCAAAGTAAACATTTATTTGTATTCCATAGAATTCATCAAGAAATTCAATGGAATTAGCGAAGTAAACAAAATTTTGGCATTTAGAGGGGGCTTTCCATGTGATAAAGCACAAGGATGAAAAAAGTAATCAAATGAGCTGATTCCCATGTCACAAAACCCTATTTCAAGCTTCAAACAAGAGCAAAGCAAATATGTTACACTGTACACAAAGTTCATACAAGGGCAAAAACTGACGGTACAATATATAACTTAATACAAACAAATCAAGATCAACAACAAACACAAATTACTCTCAAACAGTCAAAAGCTTTTTTCTATAGTTGCATGCAGTTGCTTCTGGCTTCGGCCTAGGCTTAGGAAAATGCATTTCTTGACCTACAGGCTTCTTACTTCTTAGTATCGGTTTAGTCTGTCCCATTTTTCTCTATAGCTTGCTCATGCTTGTCCAGCTGGCTGAAGTTGCCTTTTTGCTTGAAAAGCTGAGTATGATGGTGCCTGCAGTACAGTTGATGCTCGTGGGCTATATAATTTGACGGACTTATAACACAGCCCCCATGGCTACACTTGAAACAAGCCCTATGGTATGAAGTTCCATCAACAGCCACCTATGAAAAAAATTCATTGATTAGCAGCTTTAAAGTTTAAACTGAACCACAGAAACTCAGGATAGAAAGAGAAGTGTACACATGATGGATGCTTGGAATGCAAACAACACACTTTAAAGCATGTTTGGATAAGCTTTACAAGAAAAGTACAAGTTACTTTTAAGTAACTTTTTATTTTCAAACATATTTGTATAACTTGCTTTTTCCTTATTCTAAGTAAAAGAATTACTTACTTTCGAAGTACCTATTAACTTTCTTATTTCCATCTTTGACTTATTATTTTGAAACTTATTTACTTATAAATGAATCTTCTTAATCTTAGCCAAAAATGTTCCTTGTTCCCAATAAATTTGGTGTTGGCTAAGTGAATCCTTTTGCCACTATATCAATTATTAGAATTACCGGGAGATCAAAAACAACTAGATCTTAGGACAATGTTCAAATGTTAAATTTGGAGATTCCTAAATCCCAATAATATTCATCACTTCATATCCATTAAAGCCAACGCGTATCTATTCATGTTCTTTTTCTAATCACGAGTACCTTTTCAAGAGGGTAAACAGTTTTCTTGCAAGCAACACATTTATCTTGAGTTCCTCCAAACATACTTGAAACTTTGCTACTTGTATGGCCATGCTCGGCGGATCTGTCAGCTCTAGCAGTTTTAGGTGCCCCTGTAACTAATGTAAAGAAATGGATTAGCTAAACATAAAATATCAGAAAAATGTGAAGTGGTAAGAATTAAGTTGATGGTTATATGACCTTCAAAACTCTTATCTAAGCTGCCAGTCATTTTGAACAGTTGATCAAAGTGCGGTTTGCAGTATAGAACTCCTTCATAGGAACAGTAATTACTCAGCTGCAGAAAAGAGAATGATGTGAAGGTTAAAATGTGATCCAGACAAAAACTTAACTACACAAATATACCAATACAACACTGAAATGAAAACCGTAGAGTAAACAAGAGAATTTGTGCCATAATACCATCAATATTATAGGCTTTTATCCCAACAACTAATGGAGTTAAGTAAAGGTTAGCTCTTCATTAATTATTCGCATGAATACTTCAATTATAAGATACCAAATAGTTGCCATGATGGCATTGTAGAAAAAATGATTCCGAAGAAAGGAACACATGGTCTCTCCTTGTCAAAACTAGTTTTGACTAGTTGGACATAAACCTTGAATCAAATAAATGATGCATAGTGAATTGGTGACTAGCTTTCACCAAAGGTCACTCGGTACGAAACACAAACAGGATCGTCCTTGAAATTATCTGTAGCTGCCAATCATGACCAATTATTGATGATGAAGGGAGAAATGTTTTTAGAAGCTTAGCAGTGGAATTCAAACATAAAAACAGAAGCATAAACTCAATAGTTAAACAACTAATTCAATTCCCATAGATACAATGAGCTATGTTTGTATTTCAATGAATTTGGGACTAAAGCATGATTACATCACTTCTTTTTTCAATGAAATATAATATTTAGCAACCAAATCAAACTACGTTCAATTATTCTATTTCAACCTCTTTACGCTTTGTTGTTTGAGGCAAAGAGGTCAACCAGAATTAACGCTGATAAGGTTACAGACTTCAAGTTAGAGAAATAAACTACCAGTCTTCCAAATTTCTTCTTTTGGTCTGAAACCCTGCTAATACAAGACACCACTGGTTACTGGAACTTAGTGGGAAAGAGAAATTGCATTTGTCATATGAATATATCCCAATATTTGCACGCTGACTCGATAGCCAGCTTTTCGGTGCTTACATATAACAATTGGATAGATCACCTAGCTTCACCTCTCAATCGAAGCATAACAAGCCAATTGATTATGGTTTGTAAGCATGGTGTATTCAGGCTGATATATTCACTTAACCGGAATAATATAGGTGCAGAAGCGGTATTCTGGGAAAGTAATTTCTATTTTTTCACGGGTCATGGCCGGCCTGTCCGTCTTGACACCTCTATTTAGAGAGGCTGTTCATGTGATAAAGCACAAGGTTGAAAGTAAACACTCTAATATGCAAATTCGTCAAATTCAGCATACAAATATACTGTATTTATATGTATTTCATAGAATTCATCAAGAACTTCAATCGATTTAGCGACAAACAAAATTTTGGCATTTAGAGAGGCTTTCCAAGTGATAAAGCAATAAACACTCAAAACGTACCAAAGTAAACATTTATTTGTATTCCATAGAATTCATCAAGAACTTCAATGGAATTCGCGAAATAAACAAAATTTTGGCATTTTGAAGGGCTTTCCATGTGATAAAACACAAGGATGAAAGTAAACACTCTAATATGCAAATTCGACAAATTCAACATACCAAACATACTACATTTATACATATTTCATAGAATTCATCAAGAACTTCAACCGAATTGACGACGTAAACAAAATTTTGGCATTTAGAGAGGCTTTCCAAGTGATAAAGCACAAGGACGGAAATAAACACTAATAAGCAAATTTGTAAAATCCAACGCACCAAAGTAAACATTTATTTGTATTCCATAGATTTCATCAAGAACTTCAATGGAATTAGCGAAGTAAACAAAATTTTGGCATTTAGAGGGGGCTTTCCAGGTGATAAAGCACAAGGATGACAAAAGTAATCAAATGAGCTGATTCCCATGTCACAAAACCCTATTTCAAGCTTCAAACAAGAGCATAGCAAATATGTTACACTGTACACAAAGTTCATACAAGGGCAAAAACTGATGGTACAATATATAACTTAATACAAACAAATCAAGATCAACAACAAACACAAATTACTCTCAAACAGTCAAAAGCTTTTTTCTATAGTTGCATGCAGTTGCTTCTGGCTTCAGCCTAGGCTTAGGAAAATGCATTTCTTGACCTACAGGCTTCTTACTTCTTAGTATCGGTTTAGTCTGTCCCATTTTCCTCTATAGCTTGCTCATGCTTGTCCAGCTGGCTGAAGTTTCCTTTTTGCTTGAAAAGCTGAGTATGATGGTGCCTGCAGTACAGTTGATGCTCGTGGGCTACATAATTTGACGGACTTATAATGCAGCCCCCATGGCTACACTTGAAACAAGCCCTATGGTATGAAATTCCATCAACAGCCACCTATGAAAAAAATTCATTGATTAGCAGCTTTAAAGTTTAAACTGAACCACAGAAACTCAGGATAGAAAGAGAAGTGTACACATGATGGATGCTTGGAATGCAAACAACATACTTTAAAGCATGTTTGGATAAGCTTTACAAGAAAAGTACAAGTTACTTTTAAGTAACTTTTTATTTTCAAACATGTTTGTATAACTTGCTTTTTCCTTATTCTAAGCAAAAGAATTACTTACTTTCGAAGTACCTATTAACTTTCTTATTTCCATCTTTGACTTATTATTTTGAAAATTATTTACTTATAAATGAATCTTCTTAATCTTAGCCAAAAATGTTCCTTGTTCCCAATAAATTTGGTGTTGGCTAAGTGAACCCTTTTGCCACTATATCAATTATTAGAATTACCGGGAGGTCAAAAACAACTAGATCTTAGGACAATGTTCAAATGTTAAATTTGGAGATTCCTAAATCCCAATAATATTCATCACTTCATATCCATTAAAGCCAACGCGTATCTATTCATGTTCTTTTTCTAATCACGAGTACCTTTTCAAGAGGGTAAACAGTTTTCTTGCAAGCAACACATTTATCTTGAGTTCCTCCAAACATACTTGAAACTTTGCTACTTGTATGGCCATGCTCGGCGGATCTGTCAGCTCTAGCAGTTTTAGGTGCCCCTGTAACTAATGTAAAGAAATGGATTAGCTAAACATAAAATATCAGAAAAATGTGAAGTGGTAAGAATTAAGTTGATGGTTATATGACCTTCAAAACTCTTATCTAAGCTGCCAGTCATTTTGAACAGTTGATCAAAGTGCGGTTTGCAGTATAGAACTCCTTCATAGGAACAGTAATTACTCAGCTGCAGAAAAGAGAATGATGTGAAGGTTAAAATGTGATCCAGACAAAAACTCAACTACACAAATATACCAATACAACACTGAAATGAAAACCGTAGAGTAAATAAGAGAATTTGTGCCATAATACCATCAATATTATAGGCTTTTATCCCAACAACTAATGGAGTTAAGTAAAGGTTAGCTCTTCATTAATTATTCGCATGAATACTTCAATTATAAGATGCCAAATAGTTGCCATGATGGCATTGTAGACAAAAAGATTCCGAAGAAAGGAACACATGGTCTCTCCTTGTCAAAACTAGTTTTGACTAGTTGGACATAAACCTTGAATCAAATAAATGATGCATAGTGAATTGGTGACTAGCTTTCACCAAAGGTCACTCGGTATGAAACACAAACAGGATCGTCCTTGAAATTATCTGTAGCTGCCAATTACGACCAATTATTGATGATGAAGGGAGAAATGTTTTTAGAAGCTTAGCAGAGGAATTCAAACATAAAAACAGAAGCATAAACTCAATAGTTAAACAACTAATTCAATTCCCATAGATACAATGAGCTATGTTTGTATTTCAATGAATTTGGGACTAAAGCGTGATTACATCACTTCTTTTTTCAATGAAATATAATATTTAGCAACCAAATTAAACTATGTTCAATTATTCTATTTCAACCTCTTTACGCTTTGTTGTTTGAGGCAGAGAGGTCAACCAGAATTAATGCTGATAAGGTTACAGACTTCAAGTTAGAGAAATAAACTACCAGCGAAGGTTTAAAGAAGAAAACCAGACAAACCCTGCTAATATAAGACACCACTGGTTACTGGAACTTAGTGGGAAAGAGAAATTGCATTTGTCATATGAAAATATCCCAATATTTGCACGCTGACTCGATAGCCAGCTTTTCTGTGCTTACATATAACAATTGGATAGATCACCTAGCTTCACCTCTCAATCGAAGCATAATAAGCCAATTGAGTATGGTTTGTAAGCATGGTGTATTCAGGCTGATATATTCACTTAACCGGAATAATATAGGTGCAGAAGTGGTATTCTGGGAAAGTAATTTCTATGATTAAAATGGACCTCGAGATAAAATGGATATAAAGGAACAAAGTGGCCCAAAAAATCAATTTTCCTTAGAAAAAAAGGTGGACACTTTCTCAGAAAGAAATCTTTTACTTGATATTTCAAATTCGCACAGCCATTTAGCCCCTTCAAACATATACAAACAATTTGATATCGATATACGGCCATGAACAAAAATACAGTTTCATGGAAAAACACATCACATCTAGGAAAACGGTAGGCTTCTCGGATGTAGAGTATGGATTTCAACCGAGTTTTACTGCTAAAGTTCATACCAGTTTAAAAATCAGATACTGATAATCGAGGATCCTTATCAAAAATTAAGTACTAATTAATGAATCCTTTAACATTATGGTTCAAAGAATCAAAACAAACAAAACTAAATCCATTCAGTAAAACAACTACCACTCACCTAAACCAAGCTGTCATCCAGTCGAACAGTTCAGTCGAAAAACAGTTTAAGAAAGGGGCATTTTCAAAAATGTCCACTTTTTTGGGTGTCAATTGAAAAATATCCACCATTTTGAATTTTGTACCAAATTGCCCATTATGGCGTTAATGGAAAAATGAAGCAATTTGTTTTTTTCCAATTTTTCACAAATTTCGAGACGTAACTTTCATGAGAAGCTACATTCAAATGATATTCTAGACATTTCAAATGTTGTTCTCGACATTTGAACCCTATTTATATTTCAAAACTACACATGTCAAATCACAATATTAAATGTTCTCGACATTTCAAACGTTATTCTAGACATATTAAATGTCTAGAATGTCTAGAATGACATTTCATTCTAGACATATTAAATGTCTAGAATGACATTTCATTCTGAACATGACATTTCTCTACATTTGAAACGTCGTTCTCGACATTTCTATGTCAATGAGAAAAATTGTATTTATTGCGATTTGACAATTGTACTTTTGAAATAAATAGGTTAGGGTTATGTGTCAAAACTTTATTGGCCAATAATTTTTTTAATAAAGTGGACATTTTTGAGTTTATGTAGAATTATAAATTGTTAACAAGGGTATTTTGGTCTAAATTTTTTCAAAATGGACATTTTTGCAATGGTGGACATTTTTGCAAATGGACACAAAAAAGTGGTCATTTTGTGAAATTTCCTCTCATAATCAAATTATTGGAAACCCTTGTATCAATTACGCAAGTTAAGAAAAAATCAACATCCAAAATCCAAACTTGTATACTGAAGAAATCAGAATTCTAACAATCAAGAACTAAGCAACCATATCCATCAACAATCAATTCCAATCCTTCAATCTCATAACAGATTAATTCATCAACTTCAAACAATAACAGTTAATTCGAGAAACAGCATAATCTGTAGTTCACATATACAATCAAATATATATATACACTACGAGATTAAAGCAAAGAAGTTAAAAATCAGACCTTGAGAGTACCCTTACAGTGGTGGCATCTAAAACAAGCTTTGTGATAAACCTTATTATCAGCAGCAAGTTGATCCACTAAATACACAGTCTTCTCACAGGCCTTGCATTTTTGGGTTGTCCCTGCAAAAGATGCCATGTCCCTCTTTCTGTGATTAGATCTTAATTTTTGAAAATCCCCAAATCAAACCAGTTTTTACAGAAATTGATGCAAGATTTTTGATCTCGGAAAAGGGTTTTTGTTTTTTGAGTTTTAACAGGTCAGCCAGTCAAGAGTAGTAGTGCAGCATTACCATGTGTTCATCACAGCACTTGCCAACCAGCCATCCTTTGACAAATTTGAACAAAATTTAGCTGGCATTTAATAATATAAAATAAAATAACCCTTTTATTTTTCCTTTTTTTCCTCAAATGTTTACAGGTTTTAATTGTGGTAAAAAAAGGAGGAAAAAAAGGGACCATCATGTTTCAAGTTTAGGGAAAAGCTTGCTTTTGACTCATTTTTGTTTGTAATTTTATCTATTTCTGCTTATTTTTGTTGTATAATTTACTTAAGATAATGTATTAAGTTATAAATGATATTTATTTTCGAGCTAAATATGGAGTATATTACACCTTGTTGGTTTACAAAAGATTTAAGACATTGCAATTTATATAAGGCGTAAGCATCTTAGTAAAAAGGGAATTTTATTTTATTTTTCACTTTTGAGACGAAAATGCATTAACTTGGCATGAGTACAAGAATCTATAATTCTAAAGTTTAAGCCCTTATTTGAGCCTCATTCTGGATATAAATAAATAAATAAATAAATAAAAGGAGTTTTGGAACTGTATTTTTTTGGAGAATATGTGGTTAAAAAATAATGAAAACTTTTAGGTTTACGCATAATATTATATTATTGAAAATTGTGTAATTGAAAATAAGAGAGAGAAAAATATATTTTATGATTAATGGAGCAAATTATGGACTAAATTTAAAATTCAAATTGAAGTCCAGTAATTACAAAACTTCATGCATTGTTTTGGATTCTATTGGATTATCAATATTCAAATAATAACTATTATTACTTTCAAAAAAAATATCAGCTATTATTAGTATTTTATCAAAATAGTTGGTTTATTTAGAAGGAAAAAACATATCAAGAAGCAGAATAATTCTTTTTCATGTTTTTTTTTGAAAGTGAAGGTGAAGAATATTAATATTCTTGTGAACTTATTTTATATGGGTGAAAAATAATTGCGTTTTCTGTTAAAAAAAAAAAAGGCAAGTTTAGTCATGATTGATGTGATTTTAATTTAAATTTTGTCACCATATTATCATTTCATGAGCCTGTTTGATGCACATTAAAATGAAAGAATGCATTTTTTTGAAGTGTTGTGATGGGAAATATGTGGTTGAAAATAAATGAAAAATTATTGATGTGATGAAAAATATTATTTTATTGAAAAATGTATAGTTAAAAATAAGTAGAACAATGAGAATGAAAAAAATAATGTGGACCAAACGGGAGCACGTGAGACAGATCGATAGGGTAGGGTGCTTGAATAATGTACAACTCATAAAGCTTTTCAAATTTTTGAATGGTACTTGCACTTGCACTTGCTTTTTGTTTTTATATTCATGAAAAAGCTTCTTCGGCAATTTAAATATTTTTATTCCTTTAATTTCTTCCCCTTTATTAGTCTAGAAGATCAGTCACATTTACGATTTATGACTTCTATTTTAAGTTATGTTGAACGTTTTAATAAATCTCTTTAACAATATAACCTATTATCAAGTACTCGACTTCGAATCCACTGCCAACACTTTCTCGGTCGAGCTCGTCGCATCAAGCTTGCATCGTGCGATTTACCTCTTCTATATGGTTTGCGAGCTACTGCACATAGAGCAGAGTTTACCTAATGCTCACTCACAGTGGTCGAACCTCCGTTAACGGGTAGCGACTGCGAGTTCCTACGTCCAAAAAAAAGTACTCGACTTCATTCATTTTTTTGTACTACTCAATATTGTAGAAAAGTCTACCACAAGTTGAATAAGTGACTAGATATGCACAGTGTGTCAGTGACTGCTAATGGTCGATATTGCTTCATGAAAATTTGAACAAAACGTACCCCATTAGACAATACCAAAAAAGAAAAAGAACCTAAAATTTTGTTCATTGTGTTATTCATTCATGTACCGTACTACATAACAAACATTATCTTGAAATACCCACCAGAGAACATTCACATTGAATTTGTCTAATGGTACTTGAAAAAAATTTGGAAAACTAGTATAAACTACATTCAACTATGTACACATAGCATGACTCTTTAAGTTAGGTTGAACGTTTTAATAAATCTCTTTAACAATATAACCTATTATCAAGTACTCGACTTCGAATCCACAGCCAACACTTTCTCGATCGAGCTAATCGCATCAGGCTTGCATCGTGCGATTTACCTCTTCTATGTGGTTTGCAAGCTACTGCACATAGAGCAGAGTTTACCTAATGCTCACTCACAGTGGTCGAACCTCCGTTAACGGGTAGCGACTACGGGTTCCTACGTCCAAAAAAAAGTACTCGACTTCATTCATTTTTTTGTACTACTCAATATTGTAGAAAAGTCTACCACAAGTTGAATAAGTGACTAGATATGCACAGTGTATCAGTGACTGCTAATGGTCGATATTGCTTCATGAAAATTTGAACAAAACGGACCCCATTAGACAATACCAAAAAAGAAAAAGAACCTAAAATTTTGTTCATTGTGTTATTCATTCATGTACCGTACTACATAACGAACATTATCTCGAAATACCCACCAAAGAACATTCACATTGAATTTGTCTAATGGTACTAGAAAAAAATTTGAAAAACTAGTATAAACTACATTCAACTGCCATTACACTTCGTCAATTCAAGGAGTTGTTTGAAATTATCAAGCCACTTTATTTTCAAAATCACTAGCCATGTGATCCAAACTAAAGTCTGTCGTACTATCATCAAAACGTCCATTTCCCTTGCCCATTAGATATTTTGCACTGATGGAAAAAAAGGCGTAAATGACGGGGCTTCCACTTTTATGCATTTTCCTTTGCCTGATTACGGGCTTCTTCTCGTATTACTGCTTTAACATAAATCTCATAGCAGCATCCTGATAACAAAAGTGAAAGATAGCAAGGTAGAAATCAAGCAAGGATAACAAACAGTTGTGCCTTACGGCTTGTTAGGGAGTGTGGATCATGCAATACCAAACACTATTAAAGATGAAAAAAATAGGTTAAAATTTTGACGATTATTCTATGCAATTCTGACCAATACTGCATACCAAACATTTCCAAAAGTCATTTCAAGTTTATTCACAATGTATTACAAGTTGAGAGTAATTAATCAGTCACATCAATGTTACGGACATGATTGTGTCACTTGGACAAGTAATATGAACATCATCATTCCTCAAACATGATAGATATACAAAGGAAGGAAAAGCTCGACTGATGGAGAAAACTCAACAGGACAGTGAATATGTGAGACTAAAATATTTCTATTTCTTCACTGTCCCTTTAGCTACGACATGATGGTAATAAGGGAGATAAGTAATGCAAATAACAGTGGTATTGATCCTCGATAGAATAGAGTAAAAGAAGAGCATCCTGGCAAAACAAGATGGTGGGGAAGAAAAGTTTATTGAGTTGAGATTATTTGTCTGTGACAGCCTTATATAGCAGTATTTCACTATTTCTACATCGCATCCTCCAGAGTATACATTCAGTTACAATCCCCAAATTGTTACATGAACCTCTACTAACATACGCAGTAACTAGATTTCAGAAGACCCCAAGTGTTTAAATATATGAACTAATCATTATTATCTGAATATAGAACTAAGAAAACTGACTAATATTAATTGATCACTTTTCAACATTGTGAATATTAACTAGAGAACCAATCTTTTTTTTTTCCCCCTAACCTGTTACTTACCTATCGATAAATCACCAATCAATATATCAAGTGAATAACTCAATTTTTTCTTATTAAACCAACGCAAGTAACACAAGTCATCCCAATGCCCAACTTACGCTAATTGCATTTTATGGCACTTTTAACCCCAAATCTTGGTTTTATGTGTTGCATCTCTTTTAGCCATAAACAAGAAATGATTATGTGACACTCCAATAGGTTTTATATTGCACCCCTTTTAGTCATCGAGCAAATATAAAGTTGACAGGATCAATTATAATTTGCGGTGAAGAGATTGCCATACCAGCTACAGCTAGCACTGTGAGAGCATCTCCTACTACTTTTAAGCGCCGCACACTTTTCTTATGTGATTTGAAGTGCTTTAGTGCTGGGTCCTCGGCCAAGAGCTGGAAGAAAATGAGCTTGTTTCAGAACAAATACAAGAGGACAAAAAATTCACCAATTTAAGTTCATGAACATACAGAAAAATGTGACTACTACTCCGGACTTCTTCATTTTAATTTCACCATAAATGGAGAGACAGAGAGCAACATGGATGACAGAACAAAAGTTAACATTCACTACTGAAATATACAGTTTAAGGCTTGGAAGATGAACATTCCCATGAATGCAATTAGGCACACATGCAGTAGGTTCAACCAACATCGTTTCAACTGATAAAAATTATAATTCTTAAATTCTACTTACCTAATTTGTATGACCATCCGGGTGAAAAGGACCTCCATATGGACTATCCTTTGACGTGTCACCACCCAGAAGAATAGTGCAGTAAATATATGTTCAGATGCTACATGTGAAGTTTTGAGACTGATTTTAACAGCAAAAAAAGTTGAAAAATATATCACATAGCCCATCAACTAATAAAGTCTATCTCCTTTAACAAATTTGCCCATCTGATAGATACGAATTTGACTTTTCTCCAACAAGGACTTAAATGTGATGAAGTCTGTAGATTAGTGACATTTGTCAATGGAATTTTTAAGAAAACACAAATTTATGTTTCCAGCATAGCATTGAAGAACTTCAGTAAGAAAATTGGGGGAAAAAAATTCAAATTTGACTCCAAATATGGAGTTCTCTGATTCCAATCTCATAGCTTTACCTCTAATCCACAAAATGCAATCTAACTCTAAATTCAAAACCCTGGTTCTGCGCAAGCAAGAAAAATATTAATAAGCCCACAACTTGATTTGTCTCATTATTGCCCGATCAGTTTCCCAACAACGTCATTTAGCTCAATTGAATGAACCTCACATGTCGATCAAATGTACAGGAGAATCCATTATCAAATTAGCAATCTCCCTTCTCTTTAGACCCCTCCAAAAACGATTTTGTTCAATAAATTGACATACGGGTTCAGATATAAAGGATTAATTTTATGAAATTCGATAAGAAAAAAAAGCTGATTCGGAGCACACAAATACTCTTCTGACGATAAAAATCCATCAAATGAAAAGAAAAAAAGACGCTAATACTCACAGCCTTCTCACGAGCTCCAGGTTCGACGTGATATCCACGACTTGATAGCATTAACGAATCATCAGCCTTCTGCGGTAAATTTCACAGATAACCCATTATTTTACAACCCCATTTCCACGTTAAATCCACCGTAAAAACGCATATAAAATGAAAGATTAGCGTAAAACAGACTTTACAGGACGACATATACAATTACATAAACGTATATGTGGGAGTACGTGTTTATGTATGTACCTGTGAATGCAATCGAAGTTTAGAGAGTGCAGTTTTGCTGAGTAAAAACGCCATATCTTTAGAGAGAGAGAGAGAGAGAGAGTGCTGTTCAGTTGGGTAGAAAAACTGAAAAACGAAATTGACTCAGTGAGTCAGGTGAACTTAACATTTTACAAATTACTCCTCATACTTACACCATTTTTGGATTCAGTCCATAGATTGAACGACGTCGTAATATCGTGACTTTGGGCCAATTAGGACTTTGGACTGAGCCCAGTCCATTAAGATGACCAACCCAAAGCCTCATTATTTGGACCCATTTGTCTAAAACTTGTGACGGATAAGAATTAGACCAAGTCCTATGTTTTAAGATCCAATTTCAAAAATAAGATCCAAAGTTTGTTTATTCAAAAATCAGTTTATAATTAAAAAAATTAATATTATTAATTATATTATCATTTACCTATTTTTTTTACTCT